CCCTAACGTGGCTGCTCTCGCGTTTAACGGTAACTTTTTTTTTATCTTTTTTTTTCGTAAATTAAGATTGCAAGTAAAATGAAGCACTCGCCGCGATTGATTCTGAAACTCTTTTTATTTCGTACATTTAATAGATTAGTGTTGCGTGAAAGAATCAATTATTCCACTCACGGTTTTTGCTCGGGTTTAGAACGAGTGGATTATGAAATATACCGAGTGTTTGTCATGAAATACTGTTGAATTGTATTCATTGAATTTCTATAACAGATATTTATTAATATATACTATATGACATAATATCGATTGATTTATTTTTAAAGACAATGACTTTGAGACGTTGAGAATCTCGAATTGAATCGGAATATATCAGAGGAAGAGTTAATAATGAATGAAAGTACAAGTAGAAGCTCGGTGAATTCTTAAAAAGAAAAAAAGAAAAAATAAGGATTAATTGTTATTGGAGTTAATTTACTTTTCTCGCTACGTAAAATTCATCCGTCGGTAATATTTGCAAATTTGTATACCGACTGATGCAACAGTAGAGTATAGTGAATTTTTATAAATTTTCGAAATAGCTTTGCACGAATTAAAGTACACTCGCGATTATACTTTTCATACTGTGAGTATGACATATAAAGCTTGCAAAGAAACATTGTTACGTGGAAAGTAGTTGGCTCGTAATATTTATAGTAAAATGTTTGAATTATCGGTACGACGTTGTATACTCGTTGCTAATTGAAAAAAATGATAATAATATAGATAAAATTGTAGTAAATTGTGCGATTGTTTCGGTTTTAAATTCCTAATGAAGAGTAAATTGGAACATCTCTCCACGTTTTCTTCGGTGAAAATAGTAACTTGTAAACTAATTGTGAACAATTTTAGTCTCTTTTTCTTTCATCTTGGTATTCGGTATAGAAATTTTCAATTCAAGTAACAAAGATTCTTCCTTTGTGAAATTCAAATAACTCCCAAAATAATTTGTTATTAATGTGTATCAAGTAATTGCTAACAATAAAAAGTACCTTTTACTTTTTTTTAATATCACTTTTATTTCAATGAATACGTAAAAATATATGTACGATGTGTGCACAATATCTTTTTTTTTCATCAAGTAACAAAGATTCTTCCTTTGTGAAATTCAAATAACTCCCAAAATAATTTGTTATTAATGTGTATCAAGTAATTGCTAACAATGAAAAGTACCTTTCACTTTTTTTTAATATCACTTTTATTTCAATGAATACGTAAAAATATATGTACGATATGTGCACAATATCTTTTTTTTCAGCTGTTAAACCTTCATTTTTAATTATTATTGCTGAGGCTTTCGGATGTAAGCTGTGTCCTTATGGAAACAGTACTCCATTCCCCAATAATAATAATTATTAATATTTTATACGTATATGTGCATAATATCTTTTTTTTCAGCTGTTAAACTTTCATTTTTGCTTTTATTAATCCAACAAAAAACGAGTTTGTTACAGATTCGCTTTATCGAAAACTGAGGAAATTATTCGAAGAAAAAAAGTAAATGACGCCCATATTGTAACTTGTAAAGTCTATCTACTAATTTCGTTTGAATTTGAGTTTGTTGCAGGTGACAGAGAAGCATACGAGCAATTCATCTTACCATACTGATATTTCCCTTCTTTCTCCTTTATATCCCTTTAGATTTTTAGAATAGGCAGGGTGCAATATAGATTTCTAATTAGGGAGGTTGTTTTCCAAACGAACGTGGCATTTTAATCAACCACGGTATGTTCAACATTAAATTGGATTCTTAATTAAGAAGGTGATTTATAATTTAAGTTAAATCTTTAGTCAGGTAGGCAATTTTTCGACATTAAGTTAAATTCCTAATTAAATAGGCGATTCTTAATTTAAGTTAAATCATTAGTCAGGTAGACGATTCTTAATTTAAGTTAAATCTTTAGACAGGTAGGCGTTTTTCTACATTAAGTTAGATTCTTAGACAGGCAGGCGACTTTTAAGTTAAGTAAGAATTCTACTTAAGTAGGATAGTATTTAAGACTTTAACATTTAAATAGGCAAGTTTTTAACGAAAATTCAGTGCTCAAGTTACATGTTGTTTAAGACGGTAGCTCTCAGTTTGTAAACATTGTAATTTTTTTCCTTTCGTTAGTTTCCTGTAAACAATTTTGAACAGAAACGCTTGATTTGTTCCCAAGATAGCCGTGTGCAGTCAGTCCTTTAAGTTGACGTGTCTTTCTTTGGGACGTATTTGTTTATATTTTCTTCTTTTGTGTTTCGAATATTTCACGAGTCAGATTCCTACTTCACGTATTCTTGTGTAGTGATAAGAATACAGAGTAATGATACATGTATAAATTAATATCTCGTATAGAATTAAGGCTTTCATCAGTCCTAGTTTGTCAGGTTTAAGTTAACTCCTAGTTTAAGTCAAGTGTTAGTGAAATTATCTTACATCTAGCTTACAGCGTAAGTTTAAGCTAAACTTAAAGTACTTTAGGTTTAAATTAATAGGATACTTTTAAAGTTTTTTTTTTTTTGTATTTTTTTCTTTCTTTTTCTCGTCGACTTTTTTTTTTAGTTAAAATTCCTTCAGTTTCCTGCTATTGTTCGTTTGCATAGCGATCGAAAATTCGAACGTATTGCAAATATACAATCAGTGGGAGATGTTGCGGTGCATGAATGAGTACGAAAGAAATAGTAGGCGCGTAAAAGGAGGGTGGATGGGACCGTGTGGATCGGGCGGGCCTCCATTCGCAGCAACCTCCACGTGGTGAGGCCTGGGCAATCGATATTATTTGATATATAATTACGATTGTATAGCAAATAATTCGAGCAAATCGGCTGCCATATTAAGAGATCGTAGTTTAGTCGAATAAACTTTGCATGACCGAAATGAGGATTGCACCGACGCGTATCGTAATAATATAATAAACATACGTTTCAGTATGAATTCATTACCCAGTACTTGTTCCATAACGTTAGGAAATAGTACTGTAAATACTTTGAGTTCAGATGAGCTGAACGATATATTATTCAGATGGTTGAATTTATCATTCATAAGTACATGAACAAAAAAATACATGGTCCCATTTAAAAAAATACCGATGACCTTGAAATCTCGTAAAAAAAAAAAAAAAAAAAAAAAAACTGGAAAAAATTTTTTCCATCATCAGATGTGTCCCTTGAAAGAGTATAACTTTGTTCTTTGGAGTTTTTTCATATGACCAACAATAACGGAGATATTTAAGTGTTCCGATTTAAATGCCCCACCTTATATACAAAAGGAGGGTAAGAGCAAGCACTTGCGAGAAATGTATAAATCAATGAGGCATCTGATGGTCGCCATCTGAAACACGTAAATAGACTGTAAGAAAATGAACGTACTATCCCCACTTCTTTACAGTTCTGAACCATCCGCTCGTCTGTCCTGTGCCTTGCCTGTGCCTATATCTTGTCTGCGATAATACGAATTAGAATATCTGCGTCAGTTACTACTTTACCGACACCAAATAAACACCGCAGTCGCTTTAATGCAAACTGTTGAACGGCAGGTGTCAGAGTGACTTCCGCGCATCTAATTTACGGAACGTGCGCCATTTCAATAGAATCACCGCCACTCTATATTGTGTTAGTTCTAGGATTCGGTCAAAATTGAGGAGATTCACGTTCATTGGCAATTATATACCAGCAATTCATCTATATCGTATTAAATTAGAGGCTTCTATTTGTCGTGTGTTTTTGAATTTTGTTAAAAATGAAGTTAAGAAAGAAATTAAATACAGTGAGAGTTCCACCACTTAAAAAAGCTATAAGAATTAAACGGACCTCATCAGATGTAGAAGAGGAGTCAACTGTATCCAAAGCAATACAAAATGTTAAAAAAGTTTTTGAGGTTAGAGTACATGAAAATATAACCTATATGTTATATTAGTTAATTATGAAGAAAGATGTAAAAATAATCAAGCAATGTTTTTATCGTAGAGAAAAAGTGTAAAACCAACAGAAACATCAATAACTCCAAAAATAGTGAAATCGAACAAAACTTTTAAAAACAAAGTAAAAAGACCAAATTTTCACAGAACGACTTCACGAGGTTTAGTGTATTTAGGACACATACCTCACGGGTTTTATGAAGAAGAAATGAAAGATTATTTTACACAATTTGGACATGTAACTAGAGTACGTGTAGTTCGGTCAAGAAATGTAAGTACATTTATAAACGAAACAAAAATATACAAGTGAAAAGGTGGTACTTCCTCCTTATGCAAAACTAAATTAAACGTGTAAAATAAAATTTTTTTGTCCAAAGATTTGTTTTTAAGAAAATCAATTTTGAAAGTTTATTAATTATCATTATATCATTTTGTTATTGGCTATTTTCATCTATATTAGCATTTATCAATAGTGATAGCAATATGACTTAAATATTAAAGCAGGTGTTTAAAAAGTAGCTTTATTGTATAATATATAGGGACATAAGAATTCATGGTACAGGTGAGAACAAAGTGATGAAACATGTCAAGATGAGTTGAAATTATAGAATAACTTACTTTTATATGAAGCTTTGTTTTTGAAAAACACCGTTTGAAATATTTGCCTAGTACACTTAATAAATCTTGTATACTATGTCTAAGTCCTTGTAAAATTACTAGGCAAGATACAGAAATTCTGAGTATATCAACATGATTCTTATTTTAACAAGATAATAGGAGTGGTAGGAAACAAATCATGATATTGTCAGTATCCAGAAACATAAACAGAAATAGTAGTCTGTAGTGAGATCTGTTAAATTAAGACAAAGTTAAGTACATGTATATTTGACAGATTTTTGAAAACAAAGTTTTGTATGAAAATAAATTATTCTATAATTTCAACTTATATAATAATATAAGTACATGGTACATATATAACATACTGTAATATTTTTTAGACTGGTAGAAGTCGTGGCTATGGATACATAGAGTTTGTGGAACCAAGTGTTGCCAAAGTAGTTGCAGAAACAATGAATAATTATCTCATGTGTGGCAGATTATTGAAAGGTACCGCATAAAATGATCACATAAAACTGTTAAGTAAATGCTTCAATTACTTTATGTTAACATAATTAATGTTTTTATTTAGCTACATATATTTCACCTGAAAGACAACATATTGGCTTTTTTCATGGAAAAACATGGACAAAAGATGTTTATCCTAAAGTAATAAACAGGAACAAAATAAATAAAAGCAGAAATGCAGATGCTAGTGAAGAAAAACATAAACGTTTTGTACGAAGTACACGGGACAAATTAATTGCTTTAGAAAAAAAATTAAAAGAGGCAGGTTTTGATCTGAAATTTACACCAGTAGTTGATTCTAAGTAA